GTACGGAATATAACGATAGACAAGATAACATGGTCAGTGCACATATGCATGCATTTGCGAGCACGTTCGTGCTCGTACAAGGAGTGGAATGACAGTTTTTCTGGTTATTAAGCCAATAAATTAAGTATGTAGTTATGATGAGGAAAGATGCCTCTTCCAAAATTGTGAATTTCATGGCCCCTGGGCCAGGGTGTGTGGTATTAGGGCGGGCCTCTATTGATTTTATAGTGAAAATGTGTTACTACCGGTAGTATTTCTTTGAAAATCTTCTTCTCAGTTCTTGGGTATTATTTAAACAACTTAGTGCATGGTTATGACAAGCAAGGATGCCTCTTTCAAAATTGAAAAATTCATGGCCCCAGGGTTGGAAGTTCTGGTGAAAGGAGGAGGGGGGGGTCCATTGATTATAAAGTGAAAAAGCATAATTTCTTTGAAAATATTATTTTCTGCTCCCGGTTAAAAAGCAAAGAAACAATAAGTGTATATTTATGATGAGCAATCGTGAGTTTCATGGCCCCTGGTTCAGAAGTTCTGGTTTAAGGGTGGGGCTCTATTGATAATGTAGTGAAAATGCATTTATTCTGTTAAATAATCCTATCCGCTCTTTAATGTTGAGCAGAAAAATAAAATCCATAGTTATGATGAACAAGGGTGCTTCTTACAATTTTTTTAAAGCCTGTGCATGGTTCCAGGGTCAGGAGTTTTGGTGGTGGTCGTGAGGTCTATTGATGATATAGTGAAAATGTGTTAATTCTTTGAAAATCTTCAACTAAGTGCATAGTTATGATGATGTGGGCACCTCTTCCAAATGCACATGTGCTTGGATTCCGATTGGTTAGTATGCGGGTTGCTGTAACTTTATACGTTTTAGTTAAATTCTTTGAAATCTAAAATGTAGCTCTGTATTTTATAAAACCATGAGATGATGTATATGGAAATTATCGAAATCACGCGCATGCACATGCACTGAAATCTTGTTAGTTTATGCTCATTTTGCTCTGTGTGCATTATCCTCCCAATACTTCGGAAAATAAGTTGTATAAGTCAATAATACAGAGATTTTGCCTAATTTAGTGAAGCTAATATGGAATGAGGCACCAAATGGGAGATGGGAAGCGTTTTGGGAACATCTGTAACGGTCTCCGTTACAATTATAACTAGTTTTTGAATGTTAGCTTTGAAAAATTATTGTTTATATACAAGCGTTCCTCAGCTTTTCCAACATGTATATATATGAGAGGGTGAGCGAAAGGTGTTTGTGTGACTACTATGAAAACAACAACAACAGAGGTATCATGACATTGTGATCCCTCCCGCTCCTTATTTAATTTGGTGTACTTCCTGTTCCAAGGTCATGACATTGGTTTTTTTTCTTATCATATTGACAAAAAAAGATAACCCTGTACTTCATGCATCTTAAGGAGTTGTATATTTTTGTGATAATAAAATATGGAGATAACGAACAGTATAAAAGCTCAAACTCCATTTAAACAATACAAATCGCGGGAGCAGAGCAAACACGGGCCTCCAAAAACATCAGAAGTGGGATCAGGTGCCATGGAGGAGTGGGCATGCATCTGCTGCCGACCGGAAAAAAAACGGAAATCAGTGTGTAAATAATGGCGTAACAATTAATATGAAAAAAAAACGTCAGTCAGGATAAGTTGTATTTTCTGACAAGGTCATTGTATCGACCATAAAACTTGCGATTGTTCATACGTAGAGCATGCTTTTGATTGCGTATTGAATCAACTTGGAGACAAAAACCATATATGCAGGTGTTAAGGGTATATTGCTACATAAGTAAAGGAAGTTGACGGTTGAGAAATTGAAGTCATCACGTTTATCATAAAGCTTTATTGTTAGGTTACCATCAATGGTACTTTTTCTAGTAAAATATCCAAATATGAAACAGATGTTTAATATGACAATATGATAATATATTACGTCCAAGTCAAGTATAATCTTGGTGTCCAGCGTTGGGCATTCAGGAAGCAATTTCAGTTGGGGGGGGGGGGCACAACCAAACATTTTCAGCTCGGGGAGGGGGGTCGTCATTCCTTGATAAGCCCCCCCCCCGAAAAAAAGGTCATCAGACATTATTGAGGGTCCAAGAGCATGAAGTAACTAAGTTTTCTGCAGTATAGTATATATCGTCAACATTATAAAGATTTTAGCAGGGAAAATTGGGCATTTTAGCGGAAGATTCATGGGACACTTCTAGACATTAAAAGTATATGTAGACATTTTGGGAGATATTTAGTTATGTAAGACGTATTATAACTCTTCGTTAGCCAGGCTTAAGTCTGTAAATTAATGTCCCTTGCTCAGTGATGGAAGTAGGATTTTCATTTTGAGCAAGATAATGTTCATCAAAATACAGTTATTGACTAAAACTCAAGCACCATGAGCACTGTTAAAATATAAAATCAGAATATAGTTATATTATATAGTTATAACTTATTTACATCTCAGTGTTACATTCGTCAGAGGTGACTGAAAGAAACTGAACACCCCGTCCCATACATGTACATCCAAAGCTATTCGGCGTCACACTGGTCATTTGGGGGGGGGGGGGGGGTCCTCTTGCATCAGTTTGTTTTCTTTCCTACGCAAGTATAGTGTATTTTTTTTAATTATTGAAATACATCTCAAATTTCCATTTAAAAGGAAATAGATTAAGTTGAATAGTAGTATTAAGTGAAGGAGGTGTCAATCCCCAAGGATGTTGACACTGGTCATTGCTATTTCTTTGTGGTTTATAACTTTAATATAACCCTAAAATGAATACACTATGAAAATCATACATCACATACAATGCCAATGGCTATTTCAAAACACGCTGTTGTTGCTATTCAATCGAAAATTTAAAGCACGTTGCAAACCACATGTATTTTAACCTTGGTGTGCTGGAATCCAAACAACACACTTCAGGTCAATGGCAGGTGAAAAATTTACTTGTTCCACTGGTATATACAACCTTGATACATGAAATATCTATTAATATATATATCCAGATGAATAATATTTAAACGGAACCCGCTATCGCACTATTACCGTATTTATATACATTGTACGAAGAGTTTGTTTAGTCTGTTCTTGGTAATGATCTGGCATCTCAAACCACACTAGATCTGAGAAAAGAAAATCTCATTATACTCCACCGCTTTAAAAGTGCTGGTATATAGTGATGGGGGTGTCCGCCCGTCTGTCTGTTACGCTTTGGGGTACCCCTCTGTTATATGCAACAGGCCCCTAGGAAGCAGTTAATTTCACTTTGAGGGGACACAACCATACATTTTCAGTTAGGGGGGGGGGGGGGGCACTATCAAGTACCAAAAATTTCCTTGACAAGCAAAAGCAAAAAAAAAAAAGGTCATCAGACGTTATTGTTAAGGGGAGCACCCCCCTCCCGGTTATTACAGCCATGTGCAACTCCTCTTATACCACTGAATAATTATCAAATTTAATGAGACTTTCACACAGTCTTTGTTATACCGTGCCATTATTGTGCACCTCCTAATTTACTTTTTCATTTGACACACATTTCAGGTTTCCCACAGCAAAACAGAGACACTGCCACTCTTTCTATAATATTTTTTTTGGGGGGGGGGGGGTACCCATCTCTTATCTGCAACTCCTCCTATACCACTGAATAAAATTTAATTATTTTTTTACAGAATCTTTATTACACAGTGTCATTGTGCACTTCCTATGTTACTTTTTGATCTGACACATTTCGAGTTTCCAAAAACATGGACACTGCCACTCATTTTATAAAGTCGGGGGTACCCATTTCTTACCCGCAACTCCCCCTAAGCCATTGAATAAAAAATAATGATACTTTCTCAGAATCGTTATTACCGTGCCATTGTGAACTTCCTATTTTACTTTTTTATTTGACACATATTTCAGGTTTTCCATGACAAAACAGACACTGCCATTCTTTTTAAAATATCAGGGATACATATTTCTTTTCCACAACTCCTCCTACACCACTGAATAAATTTTAAAGATACACTCAGTGCTTACAGTACCTTTAGTTTCTGTTTAATTCTCTGCCTTTGTAATGTAAAAAAAAAAAGTAAATAAAATTCTAATTTCCATTTCTTCACTCAGTTGACAATGCGTGTATATGAAAGATCACATGTCAAAGCTTCAGACTTTTTATCGTTACGTGATACACTACAACTACTTGTCTATTATTCATAGGAGAGTAATCCCGGATAATCGTCACCGATAGTGCGATTTTACGTTACTCAGAATAACAACTTATACCTGGCAGATGTCTTCCTTTGTATCCAACTCATTGAATATATCTTGCCATGTGTTAGAATTATCCTGTCATAAACTCTCCATCCATTACAAACTATGTTGCTTATAAATGACAAACAAAAATAATACTTTTTTTTTAAATTTAATTAATATTTTCAACAAACAATTATTTAAAACAAAGAACTCTATCACAGCCAAAATGTAGGAAAAGGAGTTCAAAAAGTGATTCATATTATGTATAATGTAACTCTGCTGAGAAAACTGGATACACAAGTACATATTCATATATGTCTGTGCATATTGCAATAATATACACATTTTTAAAACAAAATTAATCTTAGAACATTTTTTTTTATCAAAACATCATGATACCCAGGCAGCATATCTTTTTGCAACTGTGACAACTAATATAACTGTCAAGTAGTATTTAAAGAAAGTATACCCACCCTTCCCCGATCCAAAATTGGTAAGTTAGCTATAGACATGTATTGTTATTTTTTTTTCTTTGTATCATTACAAGTATGCACAAGTAATTACAAATTTAAGAAATTTTACATTAAAGTAAATAAAATCTCTACATCCTCCCTCCTATTTCTTGGTACTCTCATTCTCTCTCTACCCATCCCTAATTTTTAAAACAAGTATTTTATTTTGTCTTTTTTTCTTGTTTTTTTTTCTGTTTTTCTTCTTCTTTTTTTTTTTTTTTTTTGGTTTTGTTTTTTTTTAAAAATTTTTAATTTGTTTTTTTTTCTTTTTTTTTTATAAATGCAAATCAATATTGCCACAGGTAATTATATTTCTGTTAAAAACATAGGTATGTTTGGTAAACCAAACAAAAATATCCCATGGAATAGGAACTGTACAAGTGAATAAACTGCATGGATTTGAATTACCCTCTTGTTCATGTGGTACAATACAGATCAGGCATATTCATGGCTATCTGTCTACAGAATGCATAGCATGGAGACTATATTTTGATTCTAAATGAAGGTGACTACAGGACAGTAAAAACATGAATATTCACAATGATTGTCTAGCAAATAGATTGTTTATGTACATCGCCATGGCTAACTAGTTTATAATCAGGCAATTACCTTCAAAACAATGAATGCCCTATACACTTTTAAAAATATGTACCCCACAACTTGCATATATACGCTATGTGGTACAACTGATAATAAACATGGCTTAAAATGGGTGAAAAAGGTGACTTAGAGGTAGAAGACATAAGTTGTATCTAACAAAACAACTATCTCCAGAACATTTCTCTCAGACAAGCACTGAGATTTTGTTCTTCAACACTCTGCATAACTAAGGGGAGATGATTCAGTCACTTCAATGTAAGAGTGACTTCCCTTCGTACTTTTTAAGTTTCTGTGAGAGTTGAGTGTTTTCCAGCTGCAGTTTTCTCAGTTCTTCTTTCAGAGTGTTGTTTTCCTTCTCTAGATAAGCTGCTCGCAGTGCAATTTGGTTTTCTTTGATTCTTCGAGCCTCTCGTGAACGTTTAGCAGCAACGTTGTTCTTCTTTCTGCGGCTCCAGTATTTCTGGTCTTTGCAATCTTCGGGCACATACACCTGATAATAGCACATCATTTTATTTACTTTTTTTTTGTCAGATACAACTTGCCAATTTACAGTCAATTTTCACATTTCATAGAAGATTTACTATAAAAAGGGGCAATGGTCTGCAGTTTTCACTGGTCTGCTTGCTGTTTTTTTGCAATATAATGAACAAAAACTTTTTGGGGGTAAAATTTCCCACAATTTCATGGTTACAATTAACAGCCTTGTGTACATTGTGAATATTTCCATGATTATTAAGAAATCAGTTTTATTTTGACTGCCTCTAAAGATGAGAAATGTGATTGGCATTTCCTACTAAGTATTAGTATCATTACTCAACATAGAGTATCCATATTATATGTTAATCTTTCTTTTATTTCACTGAACAATTCCATAACTAATTCATATGATGATGGTGACATAAAGCATTGATAATTAATATGCCTCATTCCTACCTTTCTGGACTTCTTTATGATTGGCTGAGGTTTCAGTTCATCTTCAGTGAACCTTCTTCTCTTTGGATCAAAATTCTGACCTACAATTCATTTAATGACACTATAAGTACTGAAAAAAAATAATAGTAATCTGAATATATTTTGGCATATTTACTTAACTTGACATGAATACTTGTAATAATCTAGATATTATGAAAGTTTTGCAATTTGGGTCACATTTAATAAATTACAACAACAAATGAATGTAATTTCTCATTGCAGGATAAGGAATTTCCCAAATATTTCCCCAATGATGGATTTATACTTCAACATATAAAAAAATTACAAATAAGACTTGAAAAAGTTAATTTCAGTAGAGTATGTCATAGACTTCTATATGTAACTAAGCAACTCAGATATATCCTACGCAATCTGCTGCCATCCATTTTTCATTAAATTTTCTATGGGTCAAAAACCTGAAGATTAATTGCCCCCTCAATGTTTTTCACACTAAAAGCTTGAATGTAATACCTCCTACCTGCCAAACCCTAGCATTAATTTTGTCTCCTACCTGGGATAGATGCGAGGGCCAGATCACTTGGGTCAATATCATACTGCACTTCTGGACTATGTGGAGGGGATACCTCTGGGGTACTGACTGGCAAAGGGGGTGAAATAGTGTCTTCCTTCTTCTGTGGGGATTCTATCAATGGTAGCAGCACATCTGCTAAATCTGCACAAAAGAATTGAAAGAACTCAGCAATGAAACATTTTCCTGGTATGTTTCACAGCTTTAATACTTAGCATAAAGTATTAAACTTGAAACATGAATGAATGCAATAGGCTTACTTGATGCATTTTTTTCCCTCAATGAATTATTGTTTGCAAATTTTCTAATAAGCTACACAATTTGAATTGATTGATTCAACATACCACCAGGAGGGGCAGGTGGGCTTATGGGCTGGGTTATTCCATCAGCGGTATTTGAGTTGTCCTCCACAGAAATTCCAGTCTCTGACAGGAATTCATCCAGATCCATAAATTCCAGATTGAAGTCATTATTGTCAGGATTGTTCCAGAGATTGGGTCCCAGAAAGGCTGCAGAGGAATCGATCTTACCAGCTGAAACTTTTCCTTTCACTGTTCCATCTGCAAAAAAGAAAATGAATTACATACTATAATATATTCAGTACTGGCCTATCTAAAGCACATCATGTTTGATTTAGCTGGCCTAATGATGCCTTTCATCCATATCTATTAGCTATACACATTTCCGCCAGAACTTGCCATATATTGGACATTCGATTTGCAAATGCAGGATATAACGTACATGCACTGATACAGATATCTGAATAATAATTTTAACAAATAGATAAACCATAAAAAATCAGAATATCTTGAAATCTTTTGACTTGTCTGCACCAGGTACTTGAGTATATTTGCACTAAACATGGCCGACGAAATGACGATGTTTACAAAAAACACAGCGTCGAAATAATATGCACTTACCACTAAGTTTGGGTGGATTCTTCAAATCTGGGTTCTCCAAGAGTTCCTTCAAAGTTATGCCTTGTCCAAAATCAAAGAGATTCATCTTTTTCGTCTGTTAAGTGGCCAAGTCTGATGAAATATGGCGTGGATTGTTGTCTATGGTCAGTCCCGTGTAACTACATGTGAAGTAAACAAGGTTATATAAAAGTGAATGCTAAATATAGATAGCTGGAAACGGCAACCAATCAAAACAATGAAAACTCGTCACGTGACTTGAACAGACGAGGTCATTTAGTCCATATGTACGCATTTTAGTATGTGAAGACTTAGAAATTGACCCTTTTAAGCGTAATATTAGCGTATAATCATTCTTATTCAATAAATTTAATTTAACATAATATTTCTTTCCTCCATGCATCACAGTTTACGAAACTGGAGCCCTCTTTCAGATTCAAAACAGCGATAACTTGACAAGAATATGAATATAATAATATAATCCGTTAAAATATTAATAAAATTACCTATTTTCCTTCCGAATTGCCATTTTTACGACGGAACAAACAATCACCAGTAAGGAAGTGAATGATGCAACACAACTTATCCTGGTTGTTACTTGCATTGATACCTCTATTAAATTAATAGAATCATGTATTTTATTATTAATCCCGAAAAAACATGAAATAAGTATTTCAAACTGAGTTGCATTTAAAAAATAATAATTAATGCATTTCAACCATAAAATAAACAGAAAAGTAAATGTATTCTGTTAAACGGGCTAAATAAATGCATGAAGAAAATATTAATACATTATTTACCATGGTTTAATTTTGGTCTTTATTATTTTTTCATCATTATGTCTGGTAGGAAGAATACATGTATTTCATATATTACTTCTCAAAATCAATCTATTGAAGTGATTATGTATGGTTTCTTTTTGCAAATGTTACTAGGAAATATGGCGCGCATTATGTACAGAGAACTATAGTTGTAATGCAGTAAAATCCTCTTGCATACTTTTTATGCAGTTAATTAATCTTTGCCTTCTATCTCCATAAATAAATATGCCATGCACGGATCAAGAGGGGGGTCGGGGGGGGGGGGGGTCCGGACCCCCCTGGAATTTGCAATTTGTAGAGTTATTAAAAGCATATACTGAAATACTGAAGCAAATAAAAAATGACTTTGGACCCCCCACTCTCCCTAGAAAATGTGGACCCCACCATCACCACCATGAAATAGTTGTCTTTCACGAGAAGTGGAAATTACTTCTTTTTTTTTTTTTTTTTTTTTTTTTTTTTTTTTTTTTTGCTTTTCAACAAATTCTCTGGGTTTAATACGTTTGGGAAGGGAATTTAGTTTTTTTTTTTTTTGAGGGGGGAGGAGAAATTTTTGGGTTGGAATTTTTTTTTTTGGACTGGGGTGGACCCCCCCCCCCCCCCTGGAAAAAAAAAATCCTGGATCCGCGCCTGTGTGCGGATCTAGTAGGGATATACCCACTAAAAACTTACAACTTAGAAAATTTTTGACAAGCAATTTTGGACAAGGAAACAACTTGTCCAAACAAACTGAAAAAAAACCTTTTTCGTGTGTACGTGTCTGTTTGTGTGTGTGAGGGTGTGTATGTGTTTGTGTGTGGGTATGGTGAGGGGTGGAGGAGGAAGACAAGTCGCTTTCCTTCATATATGTATATATAAATGACTCTCCTTACCATTTTACTTGGAATCCATGTTTTCTGGAAAGGGGTCGTGCGTAGTTTTCAATAGGATTCCAAGATCGTCTTTTCCTTACTTTACTGTACAAATTTTAAAACTCTGAAATGAGCTTCCATTGTCAAATAGAAAAATGAAATGCATATTCTATTCAACGACCTAGTTCAAACAAAGGCCAATAGCCTCTCTTGAACCAGGTCAATGAAGCACTAACAAATTGTACTGGAAATGTTCTATTTCCCACGGGGAGGTCATTGATGATTTTTTTAAAATTAATTAATTAATTTAATTTTATGATATTTTTAAAGAAAAATATTTTATAGAATGCAAAATTACTCTTCGTTTTGTTAAATGTTAATTTTTATTAACGATTGGAAAAAAGAGTGGTCCCATTAATTCACGATCTGAAATATCTCATCACTTGAATTCGGTTAATTACATGTAAGTAAATGACATACATGTGCGTGCATGTACCCGTACATTTTTAACTATTTTTAGCCAATTTAAATTAAATTAATTATTAAGCATCAAATATGTAAATACATGTACTAGTAGTTGGGTATTTACTTAAGTTTTTAAAGAATTTTACTCTCCGAGTCACAGCATATAATTGAAGAGATTTACGATTCTTGACCTAAGATTACTATGATATTATTATTCAACATTCTGAACTAATTCATGTTGACAGTAGTACTTTATAAAAGGTGGACAATTCTACTTGATTGTGTCGCTCAATGAGTCTGTAATTAATAGGTAAAAATAGCGACCCTCCCCATTTTCTACAATAAAAGCAATTTTTTTATATATAAAAACACAGCATACACAGAAGAGCTAAAATAGTGGGGTTTTTTTTTCAATAATATTTTTTTAAATTCCAGCACACTTCATGAAAGAAAGGAAAGGACTCCTAAATAAAGTTTTTACATTTTAAGCCCACCGGAGTCCTGTGACAGTGAGGTAGCTATGTTTATTCCTGAATACCTCATCCTTTTTTCAAAAATCAAAGCAGGAAAGAATATAATAATTTATTATAAGATTGAATAATTCGTATCTCTCTGAAATCCTTATGTACACTGTAAAAAATGTGTTTAGATGATAGACACTTTTCTAAGCACAATCTTGTCACACTTTTTTTAATGCATTTAAATTCTAAACATGTTTAATTTCAATACACGTAATGGAAAGTGTTTTGAACCTAAATGCTTACATGTTTAGATTTTAAACACATTTCTAATCAGTTTTAGATTTGCGTTTAGAACCTAAACACTTCAATGTTTTAAACAAGAATCTGCAAGAAAACTGAAAATATGACAGGACATTATACGTTTTATTTAAACATCATATCAAAGTGCTAAAAAATACCTAACACACAGTAAAATGTTCTCTAGGATTCATCGTTCGGCGAAAGTCCTTTCTCTTGTGAATGGTTTTCAATTTTTTGTACAGTCTTTTAGAAGTTATGACATATCATACTTTTTGGCATCTAAACAGTTAGTAACACCCAGTTGTTGAATTGTCTGCAGAAGCAAAATACAAAGTAAATATTGTAAAGACTCCAGGTACACATGTATGGCGTGCTTCTTGCAGTGTGGTGCAATACGGTTCACTATTTCAAATCCCCCGTGATGTAAACAAAACAGCAGAGTATATGGATAATCTTGAAAGTATTTTCTATGGTAGTATATATGTATAATTCATCTTTCACATCCATAAACAGAAAGGAAGTTTGAAATTCTTTCTCGCGGCTATCCAATAAATTTAACCTGTAAGAAAGAATGTACGTTGCATTTAAGTTTAATCAATATCTATGCATTTTTAGAATCAATATTTACACTCACTAATGAATACATGATATGGCACCCAAAGACATCCTAGCTAGATATAAAGCGCAATGTTATTTACCTTTATTAATCTTCATGTAAATTTCATTTAATCCAAAGCATACATACCCTCTATAGAAGTAACAAGAAGCCTTTCATATGTATTTCACTATTTCTGCGTTGACTGTCACTCAAGTCCTCATCAGTTTCCTTGAAAACTTCGTTTACTGTTTTGTTGTGACTTTCTTTGTTTCGACAACCGCGCTTATTAACGTTCAAATATATAACATTTCCGGGAAGATAACTCTGCACTTGACCGAATTTAAAACAAAAACATGTTCAATATCTAAACGCGTATAGATTTTAAATACATTTAGACTTAAGTATTTAGTTGTTAAACACAAAATCAAACACGTTTAGATCTAAACACGTAATGGAAGTGTTTATTTCCTAAGCGCAATTTTTACAGTGTACCTCAGTCTGTATCTTTCTGATTGGCCGAGATCCAACAATTTAGGAAAAAAATCACCTGCACGTGACCTTCCAGGTGAACATAAGGATTCTTTTTTCTACATTGGACTTCAAATAAATTGGGAAATTCCAAAGTGACAAATAGAGTTTTGGAAAGTTATTTCACTTGCATCCGACTTCCACCCAGGTGAACATATTAGTCAGGCACATAAAATATGGGGTGAGGTGTATGGGTGCAGGGAACCTGCCCCCCCCCCACCCACCCACACACACTTTTTTAACGTAAATTTTTACTTTTAATGTAGTATAAAATGGTCATTGAAGGGCTCTGGTGCCCCGGTTAATGGACCTTAACACACTCCCCCATAAAATAAAAATTGGAGTTGGGAAAAATCTCCTCATTTTGAAGAGGAAGGGCTATTCAAAGATTTTTTCAGGTAAGTTATCTTGTTTTTATTCCTTTTTTTAAGTATAAATTATCCTACATATACGTGCCAGATATTTACTTTTTTCTCTACATCGCAACTAAGATAGATTTAAGAATTCCAAATTAATACTAGGTTATGTTTATTTTAAACCAGTTTCTCTCATTGCGTTTGGCTAGGACTTCAGCAAATGTAAAAAATAGTTTATAAGATGGTACCATTTAATCATTGAATCATATAATAAAACAATTATTGCTGTTTTTGAGATCAATACGATGATATAGCCTCATATTCACCGACCCATCGGGCTCGGTGAATATTGTACTCCTCAGATCAGGTGGCTAATTCATCGTATTGACCTCAAAAACAACACTAATTGTATACTATTCAACCCCCCTCCCCCATTAATTTTTTTAAGAATAATCTCTTACTGTTAATTTTTAGGGCTAGGCATGCACGGATGTAGAGGGGGGTTCATGGAAATCAGGACCCCTCCTTAAATTTTCAGAGATGTTAACTTTTTTTATTTATACATAATTTTATTCAGAAAAGGTGAATGTGATTGGGCAGCAGAAAGGGTTTTCAGGCTGAGGCAAATTCCGATTTTTTTGTTCGTCAAAAAAATCTGTGTCCAATTTTTTAAAGAATTGGTTTGGACCTGGAAATTTGTTATTGAAAGGCCTCCGGTCTCAACTTTTTGTTGCAATATACTCTCCAACATTATTAGTTTTTCCTTGTTAATTATTTTTTACTTGCTGACCAACACCCGTTTTTTATTTAAAACGATTACA